AGTACTCATCTTTTAAGACAGCCTTTTTATTGGCCATCACTTTGGCCAGGACACTCAGGGCAGATTACCCATTTGTAAAATTTCATGACTCTAGAGTAGTAATAAGGTCTAGCCTACATTTTTTACCTAAAGTAGTCTGCAAATTCCACCTTAAGACATTACCTTGCCTGTTTTCCCCCAAAACCCATTCTCTGTGGCTGAAAGAAAACTCCACACTTTGGATGTCAAATGTGCTTTATTTTTTTATCTAAATAGGACAAAAGAGTTCTGGAAACCTCCACAATTATTTGTCTACTTCACTGGTCAATAGAAAGGAGGGCCAGCATTCTCCCAGACTGTGTCGAGGGCGCTCAGGGCGGCTTACAATTTTAAAACCAACATAAAATACACTCAATAAAATTACAAAAAATACAATTTAAAACCAATTAAATAGATTGTTTCTGCCATTAAAACTGTCTACAGACAGGCACATTGCACAAGAGCTCATGCAGGGTTGGCTGCTTCTCGAAGAGGTGTGCCTCTCCTGGAGGTGTGCAAGGCTGCCACATGGTCATCTGAAGACACTTTTATCAGACATTATTCTGTGGATGTAAACACAAGAAGGGAGATGTCAGTGGGGACAGCAGTTTTACGCTCTCTTTTTCAAAAACACGCTCCCCCCCCCACCATACACTTAGCTTTGTAGTTTCCCATGTGGGACTGCACAGTACAATGACAATGAAAACAGGGTTGTGCTTACATGTAACTTCGAGTTGTTACTTTGTAGGCACACATCCCTCCCTCTGACTCCTCTGTGAGCTTTTTATGGTTTGAACACTACTTCCATAATATTGGCTCATAGCGGCAGCTCTGGAGAACTGAGGGAGTGTGCGGAGCCCCTCCCTAGAGCCAGGGCGGGCCCCAGCTTATTTTGCACCCTAGGCGAGGATCCCTTCTGCCCCCCCCACCCCGTGCGCCCACCATTTTTCAAAAATAAATGCATTTTAGAAGAATGAAAAACACAAATTTTGAAATCACTAATTTCTTTTTTTAAATTTTGAGAAAAAGACAGAAAACCACAAATCACAAAGCAAAGTTCCACAAAGATGTCACTGTCTCACATCATGGAACTGCTGGCAGATAACATGGTAACATGGAAAAAGTTTTGGGTTATGCATTATTACATGGGTGCAAAAGAAGCCATTGCAGCTGTATATAACCGGAGAGGGAGACCTTTATGAAATTTACTTTGTTCATCAGCTCAATGCCACTGTGAAGTAGGGAATATGAACTGCTACTAGACACAGGTGAGCAAGAGCTGATGCAAAGCTTCCAGCAAAGGGTGGGTTAAGCCTGACGAAGGCTAACATTTCATCCAACTGAGCCAACCTCCACAGGACAATCCACTGCAGAGCAACGCTTTGTATTCTAGGGAACCAAAGTTGCTATGTTCTGAAATAAGTAATCCTTTGTAGTAAGGGGTTCTCTTTCTTTTTTCTTCTTTGTAGTAAGGGTTTCTCTTTATTTTTTATTTTTTTACAAGGAGTTTTTAAAATATTCCCTCAAATATAAGGTTCATTGCTTTAATGCTAACCCTCTAGACACATCCAACACTTGTGCATTGTTCCAGGGAACAAACCTTTTCATTAATCCCCCCCCCCAATATGGGGAAAAGGCTGTATGTCACTGGAGCTGTAAATTATCTATAATTCATTCATTAAAGTGATTTAGAAAAAAGGCCAGTGAAACACACAAACTGCTGGAAAATGATATTCAAAGAGCATCCAGCAGGATACTTCAAATGCTTCTCCTCAGCACAGATCTACAGGAAAGTCTCCCCCCCCCCCCCCACATCTGTAAAGGGAAAAAGGAGGGAGGAAAAAAGAGGAGCTAATTATAAAACTGGTGAGCAAATGAGCCCACCAGACTTTCAGTTTGCTTAAGGTTCACTCACTGCCCTTTTATCCAGACATGTGGTTGAGCTTGTTTGAAGGCAAGATCAACACGTCGGGATCTCGCCCCTGCCCCCGCAAGCTCAGCACACAAATACCAGGCAAATGACCCACACACCGCCCACTTCCCACATAAATAAAAAGCCCCCCCCCTCCAAAAAAAGAAAAGCTAGCAAAAAGGAAGTTAAATCCGCAACAAGCGGCATTCTCCCATGCTCATTCCTACACAAAGAGAATACCATCGAAGACAGATCCAAGCAGGAACGAGGGGGGAACGGGGGGGTAGGAGGGAAACAAATTAAAGGCTTAATTGAAAGTTTGGGAGACAAATCACGTGTCATAAGTTTGCTACTTAGTACGAAGCACGAAAATACGCTTTTAAAAATAAGGGGTGAGCAGACAAGCCGACTTCTCCATCTCCTTTCCCAGACTCTTTCTTTAAATCCCTGCCGCTCTCACTTCACACACACACAAAACAAACCGGGACTCCATGTTTTCTGCCTTTACATCGCCGCTCTTACCCCCAGGTCTCCTCCTCCGAGCCCTTTCCATGGGGTGATCAAAGGACAAAGTTTTGGATTAGCCAAGCGGCCCCACCCCCACCCCCAAGCGCCCGTCGGTAAATCTGCCCGTCGGAGAGTTCCCTCTTCAGCTCG